TCAGCCTTATTGGAGTTATCTTTGTGCATTGCTTGTTTGCAAAACAGCCAGCCTACAGGAAGGACTGTCTTTTCCCTATTTTGTTTGCTATTGACAGGATGTCCAACTCCCTCCATCGCCTATAATTTGAAGCTTATGGTCACAATGCAGCCAATACAGTGAGCAGCCCCATTTGTCGCCGGTTAATTAAATGTGACCCACTTCTTTCATCCTGCCCTTCCCTTCCACTCTGGGGAATTGCTGTTCACATGCCAGTCAGTGTTAGCGCAGCAGGGCAGAATATTATTTTGATTATTTGATACAATAGTGCTGCATTTTGCAGCCAAAACTGTGTGTGTGCTTAGGCACAAACAAGAACACGCTCGTCTTGCCATTGCAACAATACTGCTGTTGTAGGAAGACCAAAGCAGACGGCGTTGTATGTCTGTGTGCAGTGGGTTTACATACACCCAGCTGGCCCATCCTGTAGGACATGGGGCACTGGGGTGGTGGGTAGGACAGCTGTGTTTATAGGGATCTAAAAGGACCTCTTCCCTTCCTCCTGAGCCAAGAGATGGGGATCTCGAGGTGGTCACGGCTCACATAGATTAACTAAAAGCAAGCAGCGGTCCAGCAGCAGCAAAATATGTGCATCCCTATGTCTGTTCCTACTAAACATAAATGTTCCTTATGGCCGCCCCAGCCAGGGGCACTTCCAGCCCTGTTTCTGGTAGAGCTGCTGCTGGTTCCATCCCTATGGCTGCTCTCCTCCCTGCTGGCGCAGGGAGCAGATGAGAGAGGGCTGAGACACACAGCATCTCACAGGCCAGCTTCTGTTTCTCTGCCCTGCAGGAGTCTGAAAAAAAAAAACAACCAGTGGACACATGTAGGCTTTGTTTCAGCTGCTCACAATACTTCTTTCCACGGTGTGACTGGTGTCCACTGCAGAGCACAGCCATGCCCTCTGCCAGCCCCAGCCCCGGTGCACTGCTGGGGTTCCAAATTTAAGGCAAGGGCTGCTTGCAGGGATCCCTTCACTGAGCGCAGGTTGTTGTGAGCTTCCTACAGAGGGACAAAAGACCTGAGGGTGGTGTGAAACACAGTGCACGAGCAGAGACAACCCTGGTCACTGAGGCAGGTAAAATGGACCTTAACACAGATTTTACTGATCCATGCCCAGGTAAGGCTGAAGAAGGCTTTATGACACTGTCCATGAAGCCGCCTCTCTGGATCCAGAGCAATAAACCAGAATGCAACTTTTAGCCACAGAGCATCACCCACATCATGAAGTAGCATCACCCTGGGGTGCAAAGGCACCAAAAGCAACAGGGTTTGAACTGAGGGAAAGGGAAACATAGTGAGGAGAGCAAAGCCCAAGGCACACAGTAACATTTAATTTGGCTTTGGACCGGCGTATCTCCCACCACAGGCTCAGATCGTCTCACCCATGTAAATTCTTCAACGCCAGGAGGATTCTTCTCAATTCACACCAGTCTTGGAGAGCAGACTTAGCCTGAAATTAGGTAGTTTGCTGTAATTTATAATAGTTCTGAGACTTACACTGCACCACTGAAGATAACAGGTGTGTCTAAAGGGTCTGTCACGCTTAGTTATTTATCTAATAACTCCATCCCTTGGAGGTTTGGCCCTAAACATTGTTAAATGAGCCTGTTTCAATTTTCAAAACAAAACTCATCTTAGCGAGAGAATGTGAGCAGCCCCATGGCAGAAACCTGTGGAGGATATGGGGCTATGCTGTTGGAAGCATTACATTCCCAGATCTTTTGTTATTCAGGTAGCCTAATTCAGCTTAATTTATTTTGTTTTATTTTATTTACCACACTTCATCCTGCAGCAGAGGGGCCTACAACACGCAGTGACCAAAATGCCTGCTCAGGTCAGCAGAGCTCTGGGTGCACACAAAATGGCTGTGCATTGAGGGTGATGGGATCAGCACCCAAAGAGAGCCTTGTTTGGGGGTTAAAAGTGACAGGTGAGCCTTTCTGGTGATAAATGAAAACTGTAAGGGATTTGAAAGCCAGATTTCTTCTCCAAAAGAATGGTGATGCAGTGGCACAGCTGCCCAGGTGGGGTCACTGACCCTGGAGGTGTTCCAGAGCCATAGGGATGTGGCACTGAGGGATGTGGGCAGTGGGCATGGTGGGGAAGGTTGACTTGATAATCTTGGAAGCCTTTTCCAACCTTAGCGATTCTACGATCCTATGATTCTACCTCTCCCTGCAGACCTTTGCAAAAAGCAGTAACGTTTAAATGTTCTGAAATGAATCAGGTACTTCTAAAAAAGCCACGCCAGACGTGGCACTATTCAGGGAATATCATTTGGGCACTTAACCCACAGAGATTTAAGTGCCTGTTTAATTTCAACCCCAGTGATTTCCACGAATTTCAGCCGCAGTGCTTTTGTGGGAAGGTTTAGTGGTATCTTGGCCTCTGCAGCACTGCAGCCCCATCTTCCAAGAGCGAGTTCCAATGGCTAACACAACACTGAGCCCCTTCTCATGGCTGTTCTATGGGGTACAGCAGCAACCACTTAATGGTTGCAGTCCTCTGGACCCAATAACGTGTGTCTGAGTTGCAACGATCTTGAAGTTAACCGCGTCAGGTCCAGAAGCTCCTTTTGGTTACTGATGTTCAACCTGCAACGCACAGCAGAAGGTACATAAAAAGGTCTTTCCCTTATGTCCACCTCCTGAGAAGTGTTTCCAGCAGGACAGGGCCTGCCACAGATGGGCCTTATGGGTGAAGAAAACGCACAGCATCTCCACGGGATCAAAAAGGCTTCTGGAGGAGGCCATGTGTGACACTGTGGGTCTGCTGGCTGTGGGCTTAAAGAGACTGAATGGGAGGCAGAGCCTAGGGTGCATGGCTGACTTGGGTTGGGTTGACCAAAGCCCAGAAAATGTGGCAAAGCTGTCACATCAAGGACAGTTCTGAAGGTGCGTGGCATCACAGAGATGGCTGGAGGTTGGCTTCAGGCAGAGAAAAGACAAAAGGCAAAAGGCAATAGACAACTGAATGCAATCCACTGAAGGCTGTGCTGCAACCTGCGGAGATCTACTGAGGTGGATGCCCCCAAATTCTCCTTGCAAGTGAAAGACAGGCAAAGAGGGGCACTTTTCATCCTCCAGCAGTGCCTGTGCTTTGGGATAGTCAGGTCTACCACCCCGGAGGGAGGTATCAGCCTGTCTGCCCTCACCCCAGATGCCTCAATGCTGAGTGAGCCACAGCCTGGAAGTCCTTCACCTCTGGACACTGGGCTCCATCACACCCACATGGATTTTAGTGTGTCTATATACCAGGTTGGATCTCTGCAAGCCTTCCCAGCCTTCAGTCAGAAAAGAAAACATCCGTGAATCCCCCAGTAACTTGGTTTTCTATTGGAAGAAGAAATGGTTGGACACAGAATCAGTTCTCTAGATGCTGAGAGAGTGGTGAGGTGCTGGAACAGCTGCCCAGAGAGGCTGTGGATGCTCCATCCATCCCTGGAGGTGTTCAAGGCCAGGTTGGATGGGGCCCTGGGCAGCCTGGGCTGCTCTGAAATGTGGAGGTTGGTGGCGCTGCCTCTGGTGGGGGGTTGGAACTTGACAATCCTCTGGGTCCCTTCCAACCCAAGCCATTCTATGGTTCTATTCTATGATTCTATGTCCAAGCCCTGTTAGCACTGTCCCACCTCACACCAGAGGGGTCATAAGAAACCCTGCCAGTGCAGCTGCTCTAGAGCATATCGCTTGCTCCTGGCCTTGAGCGCTAATCCTTAACTGATGCAGGCAGGGGAGGAAACTGAATGCAACCGTACACGTCCAGACTGCCACACTTCAAGACTGCAGGCCAAGCCCTGCGCTGCCGCTCACTGCTGTGCTAATGTGATGGGGCAGATCCTAAGCCTCCTCGCTCGCATTAAGTCTGAACTGCCTGAAGGCGCCCATGCTTTTAGTGCAATCAAAGGAACCAAACCAGAAGGAACGCGGACACGGCCAGCTACTTCCCAGCAAGCCCTCGGTGGTAAATGGGGGCAAGAGAGACCCTTCGCCAGCGCACTTCACGCACGGCTCCGGGGAAGCACAGCCCGGAGCTCTACCCGGTGCCGATGGGGGGTGCTGGGGAGCCGCGGCGTGCCGCCCCCAGCCCCGCAACCCGCCCCGCAGGGGAGCGCGCGGTCAGAGCGAGCGCAGCGCGCCCCGCACCGTCGGCCCCGCGCAGCACCGGCGCGCAGCGTGGTCCTCGGGGGCTCCGCACCGCGCCGCTCCGCTCCGCTCCGCGCATCCCGAGGCTGGGCGCACAACTCCGCGCATCCCATCTACGGGCGCGGCGCGGCGCTCCGGCTCGGCACCGCCCGCCTCCCTGCGCACCCGGCGGCGGTGGCGGAGCCGCGGGGACCCGGGAGGCGGCGGCGGCGGAGGAGGAGGAGGAGGAGGAGGAGGAGGCGGAGGAAGGCGCGCGGCAGCCAGCCACGCAGCTTTGACGTCGCCGGGCTGCGGCTCCCCGGCTCCGGCAGCCGGCACGTATAGCAGCACAACGTGACGGCACACGGCCGCCCTCGCTTCGCGCTCGCGCAACCACCGCGCGGCAGAAGGACCCCCGCCGCCCCCGCCATGGGCCCGGCCGCCGCTCCGCAGGCGCGCTGAGCGCCGAGGGCTGCCCGCTGCGCGCCCGGCCGGCCCCCAGCTCCGCGGCCCCACCTCCGCGGCCCCGCGCCCACCCCCGGACGCCCCCTCCTCCGCGCCGCGCGGGGGGCCCCGCGCATCATGCGGGGGCCGCGGCGCTGCGATGGCATCTGATGGCCGCGGGGCGCGGGAGGCTGCGGCGGCCCCGGGAGGCTCTCGGCGGCCCCGGGAGGCGGCGGCGGCGGCGGCCGGAGCCCTGAGGGGGCTGTGAGCGGGGCTCGGCCCGCGCCGCTCCGCACCGCTCCGCGCCGCCCGCTGCGCAGGGAGGAGGAGGAGGAAGAGAAGGCGGAGGAGGAGGAGGAGGAGGAAGAGCGGAGCGGTGCCCGCCGCCTGCCCCCCGCCGCCCTGCCTGCGCGGGCGTGCGCGGCTCGGCCGCAGCGGAGCGCGGGGCTCCGGAGGGCTTCGCGCTGCCTCGCTCCCCTCCCCGCGGCTCCCCCACCGCCGGGCTGGATATGTGGATGCTCACGTGAAGATGGATGTAGCGATCGGGCTGCTGGGGCTGCTGACGGTTCTGCTGGAGGGCAGCTCCGGGCAAGGGGTGTACGGTGAGTGCGGGGCGAGTCGTGACCTTGTCGCGCCTGTGGCCGGGGGTGGACGCGGGGTTGGGGGGGGCGGTGATCCCTGCGCGGCCGCCGAGCGCCGCGGGAGCCGGCGGAGGCAGCGCCGTTGCCATGAGACGCTGACACCGCGCGGGCACAGCGGGATGCGGGCCGTGGGATGCGGGCTGGGGGGTGGAGGGGCACCGCCGCGTGCCTGGCCCCGGCGCACTTGTTAACAGCACGGCTCCGGGCCGCCCGCGGTCGCGCAGCGCGGGGTGGGGGAGAAAAGCGCAAACTTCGCCGCGCTCCGCCGGGGGCGCGCGGTGCTCGCGGCCGAGCGGCGCGGAGGAGGGGAGCGCTCCGCTGGAACCGCCATCCACCTCCCCCCTCCCTCCCTCCCAGCTCCGGGCAGTGACTTGCATATCGCGGGGATGCGCGTCCCCTGCCCCGCTCCCATCACCGCGGGGTGCGGAGAGCTCCGCCGGTTCGCCCCGCGCCGGGCGGTGCGTGGAGCCGCGGGTTCGCTCGTTCCCCCGCGCTGTCCTCCTTCCCCCCCCCTCCACCCTCTCAGCCTTCCCTCGGGTCGGGCTGGCCCCGTTTTGGCGGATCGCCGGTGGAAGCCGGAGGCGGGGAGGGGAGGGGGTCGGTCGTCGCCCGTGCGCGGCCCCCCGGCCCGGCGGCGGGGTTATGTAAGCGGCGGCCGCGCGGAGCTGCTGCGAGCTGAGCTCCGGCGATGGGTGTCGGGTGGACTCGGTGAATTCAGCCCGAGCTCCTGGTTCGCCAACCCCGGGTCGAAGATGTACTTTTTGTACCCGCTCCCCTTTCCGCTCCTATTTCTTGATTTTTTTTTTTTTTTTTCGGACTGATTTCCAGTATCACCGAAAATACCAAGGCTTCGTGCCGGCGCCAACGTGCGGCTCTCGGCGGCGAAGCGCCGGGTTCTGCCCTCCCGGCGCACAGCGCGGAGCGGTGGGTGCGATGGAACGGCACCGTTGGTGCGGATGGGAGAGAGCTTCGGGCACAGCTTGAGCTGCGGGAAAGGCAGCTTCTGCCCCAGGCTGAGCGCATCCGCGTGTACGCAAAGTGACGGGCGGGTTTGTCACAGGACTTTGGTTTGGCAGCGATGCCTTTCTGTACAACGTAACGCCGTATTGGGGTTGGGTGAGTGCGGGGGGAGCATTGTGAGCTCGGCCGTGTGTGGCTGCGCTGTGTTAGAAACCCACTTTGTGTGAATTTGTGGCTCTCCGTCGGCTCTCCCGAGGTCTGTCTGCAACGGGCAGAGCTTTACCGAAAGCTGCCAGATCCAGGGCATGGCCAGCATCTCTGAAATCCCACTGTGTAGCACACATTTTGGTATTGGGTATTTGGGAGTCGATTCTCTGAGTTAGATTTGCAAGGTGAGGTCTGGCCCGGGAAGGGAAACCCGTGTGTGTGTCCACAGCAGCACGGTGGGTGCACTTTGGTATTTAACTGCAAACCAACGCTCTGCGTTTCTATCCCCGGTTTGTACGAAAAATAGAATGAAGATCCCCTGATGTCTGGCTGTGCATCTGCCCCCGAACTTTCCTCTGTTGCTTCTGAATAGCAAAGCTGCACTTAGGAAGTCGGCTGCTTTTACAGCAGGGAATGGAGCTGGGAACAGATTTCAGAGTGATGGGACCAGGGGATGAGGGGAGAGCAGAGCTGCTGCCCCCAGGCAGGATGGCCAGCTCCCTGCTCTGCTCTGCCCAGCTTGTATTCTGCAAAATAATCTTTAGAGGAACCCAAGTGCTGCGTGCAGTTCTCCTCCTGTGTAAATTATGCATGACTTGCATGGTTAATAAAGCAGAAAACGTAAGTATTTGGAACATGATGGTTATCCTCCCGACAAACTTAGAGTTACAAGAGACAGAATGGTTCATTGAGAAGGCCGAGGTGTGCGTGGAGCATTTGTAAGCAGATAAATGGCATCACATCAAAGCTGTGGGATTTTGTGAGCCTGGGGTCAGATCTCCAGGTGCCAACCTGCCCTGGATCGGACGCACGATGTCCCTGGGTTCCCCATGCACTGCCACCACTCCTGAAATCATAGAATCATTGAATGGCCTGGGTTGAAAAGGACTACAGTGCTCATCTAGTTTCAACCCCCTGCTATGTGCAGGGTCACCAACAAGCAGACCAGGCTGCCCAGAGCCACATGTGGCCGATACCCTTCCCTGTAACAGCCCACAAGGACAGAGGTGCTGCCCATCCCATCCCACCTGCAGGTGTGGATACCATTAGGGCAGCTGTCAGTGCTTCCTGATGCCAAGTGCCACGAGGAGCCACAGTGTTGGGCTGCTTGCAGAGCTCCCAGGGCTCTGAGCCAGCACGGGGCGTGGGGTGAACGCACACAGCATCAGATGTGGCTGCAGGAGCGAGCTGCTGGTGCCTGCATGCATGGGTATTTATCACGTTAAATGTCAGAGAGATCGTCCTGCTTCCTTGTGCCGGCTTGGAAATGTTACTGAGGAGAGCTGGCTGTTAGAAAGGAGCAGCTTTGGGAAACGGGGAAACCGAAACCCAGCAGTGCATCTTCCAGTCTGGTGGATGCAGCTCTGCAACGTTCCTGGGATGGCAGTGGGGTCACTGTGTGCCAGTTGGGATCTCCCAGCTGCTCTGTAATGCAGCCACATGGGACATCCCGCTTCCAGAGGGGATTCATAACTGCCAGCTTTGAGCTGGCAGTGCTGGTGTGCCACTGCCCTTCCCTTTCCCTACTGCTTGCCTGGTCCAACAAGTAGATTAGAAGGATGAAAGAAGAGAAAAAAAAAAAAAAAAAAGAAAAAAACCCAACACTTAAACTAAGAGCGTTTTCCATGTTATAAAGGGAAGGGTCAGCAGCCCCAGATGCGTGGGGACGGAGGGCATTTCCATGGCAGTGAATGCGGGCGTTGTGTGGGCTGGGCCAGCCCCGCACAGTGCTGGGATTGTGCACGGGCAGCTCTGCAGCCCCGGGAACAGGGCAGGAATTATACGGTGCTGCAGGGACCGGCGCTGCCCTGCAGCTGTGTGTCTGCTCCAGGAGCTTCTGCAGGAGCCCGCTGCTCCAGGACAGCTTTAACTCTTTAAACGAGCACCGGAGAGGTGTGTCTTCCTGCCTGGGTGCTGCGGGTGTTCATGCAGGGATTTGGATTTGCAGCAGGTGAGCAGCACAGCAGCTCTGGCAGCCAAAGCTCAGGGCATGTGGAGGTATGGAGGTATGGAGGTATGGGGGTTTGGAGGTGGCTGTTGCTTCTGCTCACAGCTGAGGTGTCGGGAGCGGTGCCATGCTTGCAGGTAAGGGGCTGGGCAGCATCCTGCAGTGTGGGGATGTGATTTGTGGCACTGGGAGGCAATAAATGGGAGCTGAAGGAAATAGAATCACAGAGTGGTCTGAGTTGGAATGCAGTGCATAGGGACACCCACAGCTCCATCAGTGCTTAGAGCCCATTCCCTGACTGTGAGTGTATGCAGAAACCAACACCTCTTTGGGCAACCTGTGCCAGTCCTCTAAAAGATGGAAGACTGAAAACTTTCTATAGTAGAAGTGTGATAAGCAATGGAGATTAAACCACACCAGGCTTGACTCCAGCCCTGCAGAACTGATGGAGACCCTTCCATTGGGATGGCACATCTCTTCCATCAGGCATGTGGTGGCTCCCAGCGGTCCCCCAGCACACAGCAAGCTCCCCATGCTGCTTCTCGCCCGCCAGGCAGCAGCTGATGCTCTTGGCAGAGGTGGTGAAATCGCTGCCTTTGAGTCCCTGTGAGGGAGATTTGGAGGAAATCGGGTGGCAAGGAAACAGTCTTTGAACAAATAAAACAAAAGCTCTCCTGGCTCGGAAGAGCAAAATCCAGTTTAATTAGAATCAGTCAGATGAAGTGCTGGGGAGGAAGGAAGCAGATGAATGATTAAAGCTCGGCGCTGTGTTGCTCAGTCTCTTCAGCATTTCGGGTACCTGCTTTGGGGAAGGAATGGTCTGCTCTCTGCATGCATTGCAGTGCCAGCCTCTATAGGCACGCAGACATATGCATGCTCCTGTAGGGCTCCATTACTTCTGCAGCACATCTCTTCCGCTGGGGCAGCATCTATGCATTCCCATCTTTTCTTAAACCTGGAAAAGACTCTTTTGGGGGAAAAACAGTTTTCTGAGGGTGGATGTTCAAGGTAGGGCAGCTCCCTTGGTCTCTGATAGGAATTCAGCATTTGCAGTGCTGCTCCTCGCTCGAAGCCATGCTGTGTCCCCACGAGTTGAGAATCCCCTGTTTGCCTTTCTACCATCCTTCTTCATGTTATGTCTGTGTTGTTGCAGGAGCTCAGCAGGAGATGTGCTGGATGTGTGACATCTTCAACATACAAATGTTTCTTCTTCCATTAGCGTAGGTGGGATTGCTGGGGGCAGCGTGGCTGGTGGGAGGTCAGTATGAGACCCACTGTTTTGCCTGGCCCCAAGCTTTGGGAACCAGTTCATCTATTTTTAATATATCAAAGCAATGACTAGAGTAATATATGCTACTTAGGAAGTGGTGTGGACTTTAATTATGTTATTACTACATTACATGATTAAAACACCGTGTACCCTTCAGAGTACAGTGCATGAAATATGCTGGTGGATAGCTCAGTGTAGGAAGGGAGGGCTGGAAGGTCTGTGTATGTTGGTGACACCTCTGTATCCCAGTCCTGCTGGCAGCAAAGGGGCAGAGATATGTGGGGTGCCCTGCAGGGGGGCTGCAGAGGCATTGAGGATGAGAGCTGCCCTTCTCTGTCCTGTTGGAAAGCAGGAAGATTATTAAACACAAGTCAAGGCAGGATTGCTAGGTGAGGAAACATGAGCTGGGTTTCAGCACACGCTTCTCTCTGTAGCTGTGAGCTGCGCACATGCAGTGCCTGCAGTGCTCTCCAAAGAGCCGTGATAAAGAACCTCCTTCCCAGCATCCCAAGGTCCCTTGGCTCTGCCTGGCACCTGCACCCCAGCGTGTCCCTGGGCTGGGGACACAGCCAGCTG